CTGAGACACAGTAGCTAGGCCTGTATACTCACAGCTCCCACAGACGGGGAGGCCTGAGACACAGTAGCTAGGCCTGTTATACTCACAGCTCCCACAGACGGGGAGGCCGTGAGAAGCAGTAACTAGGCTTGTTATACTCACAGCTCCCGGAGACAGAGAGACCGTGAAAAGCAGTAGCTAGGTCTGTTATACTCACAGCTCCCAGAGACGAGGAGACCGTGAAAAGCAGTAGCTAGGCCTGTTATACTCACAGCTCCCACAGACGGGGAGACTGTGAAAACCAATAGCTAGGTCTACTATACTCACAGCTCCCAGAGACAGGGAGGCACAGCTCGCCGTGATGCAGGGCTACACAGGGTTGAACCCAGAGACAGGGTAGTGGCAAGCTGGGCCTGTAGGAAAAGGCTTATGTATGGGAAGCAGGAGGAAGTTAGCTAGGTTTTGCTGGCTTCTAGAGGATTGGGCACTTTGAATAATTCTGCAGGGCAAGGGGGCACAAGGGCTGTCCCTCGCTGTTGGGTGCCTGGCCCCAGGCAATTGGGATGGGTGCACAGCAGCTCAGGAGTGTGAGAATCTGATAAGGGGAGTGGCTGGAGAGTGGATTTAATCAGCTGCTCAGAAAGGGGAACAGACTGGCCTCCTGACAGAGCCTCAAAACTAGGTCAAGACAGCGTAAAAGAAAATGGTATTGCACCATCCCTGATGGTTAATGCCAATTTCCCTTATCAGGGTTCTTGCCCAAGCTGGTGAGTTCATTACAAATGAAAAGGAAGTGTCTCTCCCCCATGCCTGTTCTTCTGTCGTAGCTGCTCCCTCTGCACATTCACTTCTTGGTCTAGATGCCCAAAGAGAACCGTCTACTTTCACAACCTCACTCTAGGTCTCCCTCTCATGGTAGAATCCTAGGATTTTCCCAACATCCCACAACTGGACCCCGAGACCGACCTGTGCTCAGAATCTAGCACTGCATCCATCCACTGTGCTGGAGCGACCACAGCTTCAGGCTCGTCTCCCACTGGTGTCTGTCTTAGTCACCTGGTGCTGCTATAACAAAAGGCACCACAAGTGGGTGGCTTTAAAGAACAGAAATTTATTTTCTCTCTTGGCCATTGTCAGTTCCTCCTGTGGGCCTCTCTCCTAGCTTCTAGTGACTGTCAGCAATCCTTGATGTTCTTTGCTTGTAGACAGTCTTCACATATCATCGGTCTTCCCCCTGTGTGTGTCTCTGTATCTCTTCTGCTCTTTTTATAAGTCGGAAGTGATTAGGTTTGGGGCCCACCCTACTCTGGTATGTTCATGGACTCATTAACATAACAAAAGAAACCCCTGTTTCCAAACAGGGTCACATTTACAGATACGGTGATCAGGGCTTCAGTATAATTGGTAGGGGGCACAATTCAGTCCACAGAGTGTCCACCTGTCAGACTAGCGTGTCCCACACTGCCCTAGCAGACACGTCTACCCAGCCTGCCTGAGGCATTCTCAGGTTGAAAAAAGTAGACGGGCTGGTGATATCCTGATGAGGACCAGATTACCGACACTCCAGAAACAAACCCCATCGGAAGGAGCTGCTTGTGTTCTGTAATTTGAAGAAAGGCCACACATGGTGTGATTCAGAGGAGCAGCCAAAAGGGGGCCCCAAGCGCTACGTCAGCATTACTGATCTGGACACCAGAGATCTCAAGACTGTAGGGATTTGAGGATTTGTCCTCTCTGTGTTGGGATCCCCTCCTGATGGATAAGAAGAAGTCCCTAGGAACATTCTCTGATTCCATGGGTGGTGTAAACAGTTAACACACTCAGCTGCTAACCAAAATGTTTGAGTCTACCCAGAGGCACCTTGGAAGAAAGGCCTGGTGATCCACTTCCCAAAACTCAGTCATTGAAAACCCTATGGAACACAGTTCTACTCTGACATTCATGGGGTCACCATGAGCTGAAATCAACTCGACGGAAACTTAAAAAAAAAAAAAGCACTTTCCCAGGATAAAACTGAGAAGGTCAGGAAGCCCACCAGAAGAGGGAGGGCTGCAGGGGTGAAGAACAAGGGGCCAGGCCCTCCCTCCTCCAAGGAACTGTTTTCAGCCTCCCTCACCCCACCCAAAGCA